GGATGGATAGAGGGATGGATGGATAGAAAAATAGATGGATGGATGGATGGATGGATGGATGGATAGAGAGATAGAGAGATAGAAAAATAGATGGATGGATGGATGGATGGATGGATGGATGGAGATAGAGAGATATAATAGATATAGATACAACCACATGAGAGAGAGAGAGAGAGGAGGAGGAGAGAGAGAGAGAGAGATAATTCTTGGCTAGAGCTATCTTTTTTTATTTCAGAGCTACTTCTGAATGTGAAATGCTGATGACGCTCAGCAAAAGAAGATTGTGACCATCAGTTTCCAGAAGCATTTGACCGTCACCTGTTGGAAACAGCCCCCCCTGGGACAGACAGACCTTTTGTCTCATCCAGAGAGGCAGTTGTTGCATTCTTGACAAATTAATAATATTCCACGCAAGGGAAAGTTGGCAATGTGTCACGGTTATGCAAGGGTCCCTCTCTCTCCCAACCTCATCAGGACGACACACCAGTTGGAACTAAAGATGAAAGCCGGTTTGAACCCGGACTGGGCTAAACATGGCCCTGAGTGAAGCTGAGAAATGTCCTAGCTCAATTCCCCCCCCAAAGCAAGTCTAGGAGAGCCCCAAACTGTGAGCGAGACCCCCAGACCCACGCCAAAGTGAAGAGAGACTTAATACCTGCAAGAAATAAGAATTCATCGGATCCTCTTTGTCGTCTTCATTGTAGTAAAGTCCACCGGCTATAAAAATCTGATTTTCTCGCGTGACCAGACTAACGTGGTTCTTTGGAATCTGAGCAGAAAGGGAAGCAAAATAACATTCGTTGGCCGCTGGATCATAAGCCACAGCTCCTGAGTCACTAACCATGAAGATAAGATCTTGAAGGAACATCCCAAAACGCATCGTGTCGTTCAATATCCCTGGCAAAGTCTCCTCCTCTTCTTCCTCAGTCTCTTCTTTGTCCAATTCTCCATTGACCACTTGGTCCTTGGCGGGTTTCTCCTCTTTCTTCTGCTTCACCATTGTAAGCTTCCCCTCATGAGCGTCCTTCACCATCTGGATCTTCTTGAGAAGGTCCGGGTTGCTCTTGATCAGAGCGTTCTTCTCCACCTTGTCCTTAAAATAATCCTTGTCCAGCAAACGGAAGCGGATGCTTTCAAAGACCACCGGAAGCGCCTTGACACGGCTGTCCCGGTCCTTGGCTGTGGCCCATTTCATGACCACCTCAAAGACCAGCTCTTCCTTCTCGACGTTGAGGGAGTCGCTGGAGATGATGGCGATCAGCTCGTCAGGAGAGAGCTGGCAAAACTCCTCATCGCGGGAGACCAGTGAGAACCGGTCACAGATGAAATCCCGGGCAGCTACCGCCAAGCGGGCGCAATCCAGCATTAATCCCAGTTTAAAGATGGCTAGGCAGTTGCTGAGGCCCAGCCTCTTCTGAAGGAACGAGACGCAGACGGTGAAAATAGAAGGGATCTGGAACATGTTAGCGACCGAGAAGATATCCTGAACGTTCTGCTCGGTGAGCTCCAGCTCCGAGGTGTAGATGTAATGGAGGATCTTACTCATGACCTCTGGATCCACATCTTCTAAGTTGACTTCCTTCTTCTGGCTTTCCTCTAGGTCGGAGAGAAACATGGCCCTGAAGTACGGGCTGCAGGCTGCCAAGACCAACCGGTGGCACGGGAATTCCTTCCCTTTCACTTTCAAGACACAGTCAAGGAACTTCTGATGGTCCAACATGTCCTTCAGCCCATCTTGGAGAAGCGTTTGCTGATAGAGACGCATCTCCTCAGCTTCTTCCATCGGTGAAGACGTAGCCATGGTGGAAACCTCTCAAGAATTCCTTGAATCCGAGCAGCCCACGTTGGCTTTCCTGGAAGAACGCCGAAGGAACCCCTTGCTCTGCTACTAATGCTATCTGCTCGGCTTCAAATAGCCAGCGGGGTTTATATAGAGAAGCATAAATACATGCATATATATTTATATATATATACGGACCACGTGTAAGCCGATCACCTTTTAATAGGGGAAACTGGAGGGCTGGGCTTGGGGGGGCAGAGGATGACACAGAAGGCTGACTAACAGCTGGGTGTGTAACTTTAGCCTGTGAGCAGAATGTGTCTCACACCAATGAACATGTTTCCCCCACGAAGAATCTCCAGTGAGGAAAATAAGAGTAATGGGGTGAGAATTGAGCTGATAGCAAAGCTGCAGCTCAGAAGTCAGGAATCAAGAGGAACAGTTTGATCCCTTCTTCACAAAACCTTTGTGCAAATATGGACACACAAGCACACACACACAGAGAGAGACACACAGAGGCCACAGTTCTCTTCTTCTAAATCCCCCCGAGCTCAACTTCACAGGCTAAAAATATCCAGAGCAGAACAAATGAGGAAGGAAGACATTTGATCTCTGGGGTGGTTGAAAGAAAGCTGCTCGGAGCGAAGTAGGATCTCCCTTCCTCCCCACCCCACCAAAGGTTTGTGAGGAAGGGACAGTGTTTTTCCTTTTTTTTCAGTTTTGTTTAAACGGATGAAGTGAATAAATTACATTTGCATTTTATGTATTCAATGTATAATATTTAATACAATGACAGTATAACACAATCTAGCATTACATGATACTACTATACTATGACACTACATTATATTATTAGAACGGAAGGGGAATGGAACAGAACAGAATAGAAAATACAGAATGGAATGGAATAGAATGGAACGGAACAGAACAGAACAGAACAGAAGGAAAGGGAAGGGAAGGGAGGAAATGGGAGTGGGAATAGGAACAGAACAAAACACCATAGAAAATATGGAATGGAATGGACTGACTGGACCAGATCAGACTAGAATAGAATAGAATAGAATGGAATGGAATGGAAAGGAAAGGAANGCACACTGGGAACAGGCTCCAGCTGTTCATCTGCCTCACTGATGTCTGACTCTGAAGGCAGCTGATAACTATCAGACGGCCCTGGCCCGCTCTCTGCCTCCGACACAGACCCTCATCAGAGCCTTCCCCAGACTCCAGGACTGGCCCAGGTTCCCCCTCAACCTCCCCACTGTCTGAATCTTCTGCCAGCTCCACTGGTGGGTCATAACGTGTGTACTTTCCCAAACTTGAGTTGGCTGTTGGTCTTATCCTTGGGGTCCATCCTTTTTCTACCTCTCCCAGCAGAGACCATCCCTGGTCATGTGCCTTAAGCCAAGCCGACCAGGTAGCTGGGCTCAGCCCTACCTGGAAGGCTTTGAAAGACAACCCCGTTTTCCCCTCCTCTTTGTAGCTCACACCAAGGACATGCCCTTCACCTGCGAGACGTGTGGGAAGTCCTTCAAGAGGAGCATGTCCCTGAAAGTCCACTCTCTCCAGCACTCGGGTGAGAAGCCGTTCAAATGCGAGGTGAGAATCCATTTTGGGGTGTCATCCCATTGACCGTTGGTGGAGTGGTGCGGTGGCCTAGAGGCGGAGCTCTCGTCTCGCCATCAGGAGGCTGTGAGTTTGATCCTAGGTAGAGACAGATATTTCTCTCCTCTCGGCACAATGAGAATATATCTGCCGGGGGGAAAATTCCGCATCGGCAACACGAAAGGCATCCGGCCATTAAAACACGCAGTTCCATTCAGTTGCCCAGACTCCACCCCACAAGGGATTATGGGGTCGTTAAAAGGAGGATGATCCCATTGGCCATTTGTGACATTTGCCCTTTGAACCCTGGTCCATTTTCTGAGATCTGGGAGAACATCCTTGATATGATTAGAAAACCCAACTTTACAGGTAATCCTCGACCGTTCGTTTAGCGACGGCAGAGAAAAGCGGGACTTAGTTTGTGACACTTATGATCATGGCAGCATTCCCAGAGTCATGTGATCAAAATTCAGATGCTTGGCAACTGACTCATATTTATGACGGTCACAGTGTTCCCGGGGATTATCAAGGATTATCTGAATGTGGGAAGGAGACCCATGTTTCCTACATTCATCCACTTACATGTTTCTTTTCTTTCCATTTCTTTCTTCCTTTCCTCTTTCGTTTCTTGCTTTTTCCCTTCTTTCTCTCCCTCTTTCATTCCTTCCTTTCTTTTTATTTTTCTCTTTTTTTCTTTCTCTCTCCTCCCTCCCTCTTTCTTTCTTATTTGCTTGTTTTCCACCCTCACTTCCCTCTTTCCTTTCTCTCTCTCTCTCTCTCTCTCTCTCTCTCTCTCATTCTTTCTTTTCTTTCTTCTTCCCTAATCTTTCTCTTTTGTGAATCCTCCCAGAATTGCAATGAACGATTCCAGTACAAATACCAGCTGCGTTCGCACATGAGTATCCACATCGGTCACAAACAGTTCATGTGCCAGTGGTGCGGGAAAGACTTCAACATGAAGCAGTATTTTGACGAGCACATGAAAACACACACAGGTGAGACCCGGTCTTTCCCGCATCCTTTTCGGCCTCTGCGTGCCCCGTTTTCCACCCGTTTCGAGTGGCGGGGATCGGAATGAGTGGGAAATGGGGGCGTGCGGAGGCGGCAATGGGAATGGCAATCCCTGCAGCCTGAAACAGCTGGTGGTCGGGAGGCAGATCCAACCGACCATCAGCTGCTTGTGCTAATCAGGCTGTGCTGAAACTGAAATTGAAACAGGCTGTTTGCTGTTTGCTGCAAGGAGGCAAATTGCTGGGAGACAGAGGCCAAAGTGGTGTAGGTGGGGACTACATTCAGTGTATGACGCACCCAAATTTTAGGGAGAGAAAAAGTGTCTTATACTCTGAAAAAATACAATACTTGACTTACAATCACAACTGAGTCCCAAATTTCTGTTGCTAAGCAAGACAGCTGTTGAGTGAATTTTGCCACAGCTGTTAAATGAACCACTGCAGTTGTTCACGTTAGTGACGTGATTGTTAAGTGAATCCGGCTTCCCCGTTGACTTTGCTTGTCAGAAGCTGAGAGCCGAGGTGGCACAGTGGGTAGAGTGCAGTACTGCAGGCCACTTCAGCTGACTGCTATCTGCAGTTCGGCAGTTCAAAACTCACCGGCTCAAAGGTTGACTCAGCCTTCCATCCTTCCGAGGTGGGTGAAATGAGGACCCAGACTGTGGTGGGGGATATGCTGACTCTGTAAACCGCTTAGAGAGGGCTGAAAGCCCTATGAAGCGGTATATAAGTCTAACTGCTATTGCTATTGCTAAGCTCCCAAAAGGGGATCACACTTAACAACTGTGGCAAAAAAGATCATAAAATGGATCAAAATTCACTTAACAACTATCTCACTAAATTGTGGCCTCAATTGTCGTAAGTCGAGGACTATCTGTACATCCCATTGATTCACTCAGAATAACATTTGAAAGGGGCTTTGGAGGTCTTCTAGTCCAACCCCCTGCTTAGGCAGGAAACCCTACACCACTTCAGACAAATGTTTATCCAGCATCTTCTTAAAAACTTCCAATGTTGGAGCATTCGCAACTCTGGAGGCAAATTCTGTTCCACTGATTAATTGTTCTAACTGTCCAAACATTTCCCCGTAGTTCTAGATTGCTTCTCTCCTTGATTAGTTTCCACCCATTGCTTCTTGTCCTGCCCTCTGGTGCCTTGGAAAATAGTTTGACTCCCTCTTCTTTGTGACAACCCCTGAGATATTGGAAGACTTCTCATTCCAACTCCATCCTATTCTAAATCATGATCTAACTCAGTTTCCCACCTTGAAAATCATTTCTGGGCCAAAGGCGACCTCTGCTGGCCATTTTCAGAAAAACGGCCTCTGACTCTTTCTTCTGTGTCCTGCTTTCCCAGGTGAAAAACCATACATTTGTGAGATCTGCGGGAAGAGCTTCACCGACAAATCCACCCTCACCCAGCATAACCGCATCCATACGGGAGAGAAGCCGTACACCTGCTCCGTCTGCGGGAAGAGCTTCACCGACAAATCCACCCTCACCCAGCATAACCGCATCCATACGGGAGAGAAGCCGTACACCTGCTCCGTCTGCGGGAAGAGCTTCACCAGCCGCCCCAACATGAAACGCCACCGACGGACCCACACGGGTGAGAAGCCCTATCCTTGCGACATCTGCGGCCAACGCTTCCGGTTCTCCAACATGCTCAAGGCTCACAAGGAGAAATGTTTCCGGGTCAGCAACCCACCAGGTGCCGATCTCAACCGAGATACGAACTCTCTTGGTCTCCTCGTTTCTCCAAATGCCAACTCAACTCTTTTGACCACCGGCGTGGCTCTCCATTCGTCCTCGCCTTCCCAAGCACTTCCTTTCCCTCTCAGACACCCTCACACACACCCCATGCCTCCTCCTCCTCTCCTACCCCCGCCACCAGCTCTCTTCCCTGGTAGCAGAGTGAATATGGACAACTAGACCCTACTCAACCTTCTGGTGTCCAACATGGCCCGTAATTCTGAAGACCTCTCCGCTGCCATTGACTGTTGTGGGTTTGTGGTCAGTGGGCATCACATTTGGGTTTTAGTTTGAGTGACCTGAAGTTCGTGGTTCTTCATAAAGCTCAAGGAACATCTAGAACCTTGAGATAATGGTTGCTACTTAAGGCACAGAGATGACATTGTTGATCTCCTTGCTCATGGAAGGAGGCAGACAAATTTCGCTTGACCTTCTCTTCTTAGATGTGTTGGACTTCAGCTCCTACATCTGTATGGATGGCGTAGAAGAAACGAAGGTGTTGTTAAATATTGACTCTGAAGATCTTGAGAAGAAAGGACGCAGGCAAGGATTTTCTGAGCCTATCTGGTCAAATATGGGTTTGGAGGAGTCAGAAGCAGATGGGAGGTTGAAATGAAAGATGCCTTCACTCAAGGCGAGAAGTTTGGAAGGGAGCACTCCAGTTTTTCATGGTCCTCTGAATGGGAGTGGAGAAATATGGAAACCTTGCTCCATGGAAGTCCCAAAGGTGCTCTTTCAGGAGGCAAACTGGACTTTCCTTGTTTTTCCTTTGAAAACCATTTGCTCCTCATCCAAGAAGCTTCTTCAACTCTGACTGGATGGTGGGGAACGGAAGGATTTATATTCCCTTTGCTCCGTGGAACTGAAAGGCGAACGGCAAGACGTGGACGGTAAAACTGTCCTTGGTGTCAGGAAGTGGATCCTTGAGTGTGTGATCTTGTAGCGCCTTCTTCCAAGGTCAGCTTCTCATGCATTCACGCTCCGTCGTTCTTGCCTATCCTTCGGTAGAACTGTCCATTTCTCAACTTCTGTAGCTTGAAGCTCAGGCGGCCTCCTCTGGGAGTGAGAACGCTAGAGATGAAGCCCTTCCCTCACTAATAGTCCCTTGAAAACAGTAGGACCGTAGGACCCTGTTCCTTGACCCCCCATTAAGGCTTAAATCCAGCATCTTTACATATTATGGAATCCTCATGCAGCCTAGACACCATAACTTAGTCTACAATTTCTTGATTTCTACTCTACGCCTACTATTCCTGAGGAGATTGCTCTTTCCTGAGGAACTTCTTCTTAAAACCAACATTATCTTCCTTGCAAGCTCTTTGGAGGAAGATGCCGAGCCTCTTAAGGATATTTTTTAACATGAAGCGTTGGTTCTTTTAACTTTTTTTGCACTTTATTATCTAATCCTAAGAGCTCTTTTGCAATAGGACCTTTGTGAATTCTTCCAGAGGAGCAGAACATGGGACATTGTTGTCTGAGTAATCTTTCGTTTCCAAGGCAAAGACACCCCACCCAAGTGAGAATGGGCCATTTTTCAAAAGATTGAGCCTTCCTGTTGTCAAGACGCACAACATAAGTGTTTCACAGTAGAAAAGGGTTCCTTGGGCCGACGTTTGCAAAGCTTTGGCAAAGCTTGATTGTGGATGCTTGATTGTGGGTGTGTACGTTCGTATGAGCAGGGCTGGCCCCTGGGACAACTACCACAAGGCACAAACCGTTGAGGAAAAGGCTGTGGCGTCAGCAGATGTGCAATAACAATGTATACCGGTGGACAAAAGACACACATTGATTGTGGTTGATTGTCTCATCTAATCCTTCCTGGCCAAACTCTTAAAAGTGGTTTTTAAGCTTGGAAAGAGTGAGGCTCTTAACATCCTTTGGAACTTTGCTACAGGTAGTCCTCAACTTACGGCCACAATTGGGACAGGGACCTCCATCGCTGAGCGATGCAGTCACTGAGTGGCATCCAAACTGACATTTATTTTGTCACAAGTCAGCCGGTCCTTAAATGAATTGCAAGGTCGTTAAGCGAGACTGGCTTGCTCCATTGACCTTGTTGTCAGTATCCGGTGGGGGGAGGTTGCATGTTGCCGATCACATGATCCCGGAATCCTACGACCATCATGCCTGTTGCCAAGTGCACAAATTTTGATCACCTGACTTGGTCATAAGTGTGAGGACCGATTATGACTTTTGTTTAGCACTGTCATATTATCAAATGGTAATGAGTGGTCATAAGTTGAGGAATATCTATAGTATATTTTGGAAGGAAGGAAGTAAGAAAGGAGCTCAAAACTAATTTTATGAATGCCTGCCGCTTGACCACCTAATAATATTTTTATGGCATTTGGTATATACTGCCCAATTATCCAGAAAAGGAAAAAAAAAATAGCGTTCACCAATAACTCTTAGTATTGGAAACAGAAAATACTTTATAACAAAGCACTTTATTCTGTATAGATCTATGGAAGGGAAATTCTGCAACCCTTTTTTTAATGTATCTTAAGAATTCCTGTTTTAAAAAACTTTGCAGTGTTCCTTTTAAGCATCTTCTATAAAATCTCCATACACTGTATGTGTATGTATATATGTATGTGTGTGTGTATATGTATGTATGTATGTATATATAATATATACATACACACATACATACACACATACACATACATCATATATATATACATACATACATACATACACATACATATGTGTTCTGACCCCCCTCGTCCCACACCAACACACTCTAAGTCAAAGATACTTTATGGAATTTATTAACAGACAGACAGGTCCTTGGCAGCAAACCGGCACAGATAAGCCTTGGCAGAAATCCAGGCTGCCAGGCTCACAGTGCTGTTCTCCAACATTAGCTCATGCATTGACTTCTGCAAAAGGGGCGTGTGCACAAGCAGTCCTTTTATAGTCTGGAGAGGAGCCTAATTACCACCAGCTGAGTACAATTACTTCCTGTACTTGCGCAATTGTTCCTGACGCCTATTAGCTCTCCGGTGCCGGGCATCCAGGAACAACTCACTGCTAACATCCGGCTCACTCTCCCTTGTCTCCTCCCCACTGGTCCAAGGCTCAGGCGCCTCCTGGTGGCCAACCAGCCTCTCTGCGCCCTGCTNTTTCCTTCTTCCTTTCCACCATCCCTTCCATCCATCCATCCATCTCCCTTCCCTCCTTCTTTCCCTGCAGCTGATAGTTGAAAAGACATCCGACCACCCTGTTCCTGAGTTCTCCCTGGTAGAAGATGCTGCCCTCCACTTCACGTGTTTGATGGACAGGCTGAACGAGCAGCGCCTTCTCCAGCCCGACCTGTGTGACGTGGACATCGTCCTGGTGCAGCAGCAGGCGTCCGTCTTCCCGGCCCACAAGGGGGTCTTGGCAGCCTACAGCCGCTTCTTCCACTCCCTCTTCACCCAGAACAAGCAGCTCGGGCGGGTGGAGCTCTCTCTGGAGGCCTTGACCTCCCGTGGGCTTCAACAGATTTTGAGCTTCATCTACACCTCCAAGCTCTTGGTCAACGCCGACAACGTTCGGGATGTCCTGAATGCGGCCTCGGTCTTGCAGATGACCGACATTGCTTCCTCCTGTCAGGAGCTCCTCGCCACCCGAGCGCTCAGCTTGGCCATGACCAACAACGTGGCCTTGACTTCGGACAACAAAGCCACCGCACCGCCTCCGTTCTTCGGTGACATCAAGCAAGAAATGGACCCTCCACCTCCTAAGATCTTCGCCCGAGAAGGGAACGTCCCGTATTCCGTACGGGTGGAAGATGGCAACCAGAGCCAGCCTACGGTGGCCGACAAGACGTTCTACAAGGAAGAGAAGCATGGGATCTGCAAGATGGAAGGGGATGCGTCTGAAGCGCCCCTGGGCAACCGAGGTTCCTACAGCTGTGGCGAGCAGATCATTGTGGAGGTCAACCTAAACAACCAGACGCTCAACGTTTCTAAAGGTGCCGAAGGACAGCCTACCGCTGCCGAACAAGTGGCTTCGGAAGCTGGATGCCCGGAAGGAGAACGGTGTTCCTCGGGGGTGGATCGGAAACAAGAAAACGGCGGTAGGCGAGATGAAGATGACGATGCAGATATGGGTGATGAAGACGAGCGCTCGGAAGAGGAGGACCTGGAAGAGGAGGAGGACACGTCGGAAGAGGAAGAAGATGAGGATGAGGAAGAAGAAGAAGAGGAGGACGAGGAAGAGGAGGACAGAGGGGACAATGACAGCAACGTGGCCGAGATGAGAGGGAAGAAGACCGGCGCACCTCAGAGGACTAGGCCACTTGCCAAGGCCACCAACTCACCTGCATCCCGCAAAATGGGTGAAGTTGCACCCATGACGGAAGCAGGAGAGGAAGAGGAGGAGGAGGGAGAAGATGAAGACGAAGTGGCTGAGGATGGCGATGGGGATCAGAAAGCCAAGAAGCAGAAGAAGGAACAGGATCCTCCCGGCCAGAAGGTCAAGCTGGAGGAGAAGCAACATTATCCGTGCAAGAAGTGCCCACGTGTGTTCAACAACCGCTGGTACCTGGAGAAGCACATGAACGTCACGCACACACGCATGCAGATTTGCGAGAAGTGTGGCAAGAGGTTCCTGCTGGAGAGCGAGTTGCTTCTGCACCATCAGACAGACTGCGAGAAAAACATTCAGGTGAGGACTACCGTAGCCCTTCCTTTCTCCTTCAAGCTGGCGCCCTCAAGATCTTCTGGTGGGACCTCTAATGAGGATGGTTGAACTGGCAGTCTCTGAGTTGCAACAGTTCATTTAGTGACCGTTCAAAGTTACAACGGCAGTGAAAGTAGTGATTTACGACCGTTTTTCACGCTTATGACCATTGCAGCCTCCCAGTGGTTATGTGATCAAAACTCAGGTGTTTGGCAAGTGACTCATATTTATGACGGTCACAGAGTCCTGGAATCAGATGATTCCTTTTTGCGACCTTCTGAGAAGCAAACTCAAGGGGGAAGCACTGAAGAAAGGGACCTACGACCATGTTTCACAACACTTGGCCATGGGCTCATATTTATGACGGTCACAGAGTCCTGGAATCAGATGATTCCTTTTTGCGACCTTCTGAGAAGCAAACTCAAGGGGGAAGCACTGAAGAAAGGGACCTACGACCATGTTTCACAACACTTGGCCATGGGCTCATATTTATGACGGTCACAGCACCCCGGGGTTGTGTGATTCCCCTTTTGCGACCTACTGATAAGCAGAGTCAATGGGGAGAGCGAGATTCACTTAACGACCAGGTGAGTAACAATTGCAGAAATTCGCTTAACAACGGTGGCAAGAAAGATCGTAAAATGAGGCAAAACCTATTTAACGAATGCCTCACTGAACAACAATGGTTGTAATGGGGAGAGCGAGATTCACTTAACGACCAGGTGAGTAACAATTGCAGAGATTCACTTAACAACTGTGGCAAGAAATACCGTAAAATGAGGCAAAATCTATTTAACAAATGTCTCACTTAACAACAATGGTCGTAAGTCGAGGACTACCGGCACAGTTGCAAACGCAAGATGGAGGCCAACCTCAAGGCAGACCCAGCACAGAACCTGAGTCACTCTGGTGTCTCTGACTTTCAACCACCACTGAGCCCAAATTTCCATCGCTAAGTGAGACAGTGGGGGTGAGTTTTTCCCATTTGATGATCTTTCTTGCCAGAGTTGTTAAGTGAGTCTAACGTCCCTGTTGTCAGAAAGTTGCACGGGGGTGTCACATGACCTCAGGACACTACAACCGTCATAAATATAAGTCAGCTGCCAATCATCTGAATTGTGATCACATGACCATGGGGAATGCTACCGTGTTTCCCCGAAAATAAGACAGGGGATATCTTATTTCCAGGGAAACAGGGCATAATGGTCGTAAATGTGAAAACTGGTCGTAAGCCCGTTGTAACTTCGAGCATTCACTAAACAAATAGTTGTAAGTCAAGGAGTATCTCTATAAGAGGAAAAATACAGGTAGTCCTCGACTTACAACTGCAATTGTGCCCAAAATTTATGAGACATTGTTTAAGTGACTTCTGTCCCATTTTACAACCTTTCTTGTCACCGCTGTTGAGCGAATCACTGCAGTTGTTAAATTAGTAACACTGTTGTTAAGTGAGTCTGGCTTCCCCGTCAACTTTGTTTGCTGGAAAGTTGCAAAAGGGGATCACATGACCCCCTTCTCATCACTGCGACCGTCATAAATATGAGTCATTGGTGAAGCATCTGAATTTTGATCACGTGACCACTGCAATGGTCGTAAGTCACTTTTTTCAGTGCTGTTGCAACTTCGAACAGTCACCGAATGAACCGTTGTAAGTCGAGGACTAAGCTGTATTTTGTCGTTCACAAAAATCTTTCTTGTAACTACTTTAATTTTTCCCTGAATAAACAACCAGGTGATGTGATTATCTAGCAAAATTTCGCTTTTGGTTTGGGCCACGAATGATCCGTTTGAAGGATCTGGGATCCAGATGATCCGTGGCTTCTCAGTCCCTGAATCAATTCCCAGTTGAGGACAAGTAAATCTGTGTGCGTTGTGTGTGTGTTGTAAATCCCAGTTGAGGACAAATAAATCTCTGTGCGTTGTGAGTCAGAATGTGTGCAATTCAGAGTTGTGATCCACATTATGTAATCTTCCATTTCACACTGAATTCCTTGGAAAGGGATGCTTTTGTATTGTTTGTGTGTCCATCCTTGCTTGTGTGGTGTTTTTTGTGTGTGTGTGTGTCTCTGTGTCTGTCTATGTGTGTTTGCAAGCCTACAGCGCCAGCAAGTGGTCAAAAGCAAAAAATTGCAAGGAGAAAAGGAAATAATTTTTTATAAAATCAACCCTGGATCCATAGTAAGAAAAGCCATGTTTTCTTCTATAGTCTTTAAGCAGATCGCTATTGTGTGAGTCTGGCAGTCACTAAGTGAATCTGGATTCTCCCATTGACTTTGCTTGTCTGAAGGTCGCAAATGGTGGATCACATGACTCCTGGACCAGATGTGGTATTCAGCCAGTTTGGGCGAACCGATAGGGAAAAATTGACCTGGTTCACCGAACCGGTAGCAACCTCTGGCTGGCACCGCCCCGTTTGCTGCTCACAGGCAGCATGCAGGAGGAGAAAATAGGTGAATGGGTAGAAATTCAATTTTCTATCCTACCAGGTTCTGTGGCTGTGGATTGGTGGGGGTGGGTCATGTGACTGAGTGGGCATGGCCGTGAGTGTTGTTGAGTTGGCCACGCCCACTCATCCACACGTCCCTCCACCAACCTCGCCTACAGAACTGGCAGTAAAAAAATTAGAATCCCACCCCTGGACGCTGTAACCCTTATAAATGCCCGCCCGTTGCCAAGCTTCTGAATTTTGATCACATGACCCAGGGGACGCTGCAACCGTTGTTAAGTGTGAGGACAGGTTGCAAGTCACATTTTTCAGTGCTGTTCTAGGGTCGCTAAAGGAATGACATAGGTCAGGGACTACTTATAGAAGGCGAAACTCGAACAGTCATTCTCAACCTTGAGAACTTTTAAGAGAGATGGAGCTTGTTGGTTGGGGAATTCTGGGAGTTGAAGTCCACCTCTTCTTAGAGTGGCCAAAGTTGAAAAGGCTTAAAATAATCAGGGTGATTGATCTAATATTGGTAACCAATTGATAGTCCAACATGGATAAGAATAAGACTGATTGGACAAGAAAGTTTAATCCTGTACGAGCAATCCTCCACTTATAACAATTTGTTTAGTGGCTCCTGAAAGTTACGACGACATTGAAAAAAGTTTTTTTCTGCTGGGAATAACCAAGGGGAAACATAGAAAGAAAATTAAATACATATGAATACACTTGTTGAGTACAGCCAGAGTAACATTTGCCAGTGTTGGAAACAGAGTAATGTTCCCCCGGACGAATTAGTGATTCAGAAAATACTAGAATGTGCAGAAATGGACAAATTAAAATTAAGATTAACGGACACAGAAGAGTCTGAATACTATGAAATTTGCGATAATTGGTATTAATGGTTGTATAACAAAAATAAAGTTAATTTAGCCAAGAAGCAATAGAGAAATATATAGAACTGTAAATGAATGTATATCAATATAGAAGCGATACAAGATTGATCATATATATACCGGGATAGATAGATAGATGATAGATAGATAGATAGATAGATAGATAGATAGATAGATAGATAGATAGATAGATAGATAGATAGAGAGACAGAGAGAGAGACAGAGAGAGAGAGACAGAGAGAGAGANAGATAGATAGAGATAGATAGATAGATGATAGATAGATAGATAGATAGATAGATAGATAGATAGATAGATAGATAGATAGATAGATAGATAGATGATAGACAGACAGATAGATGATGGATGGGTAGGTAGATAGAGATAGATTGAAGATAGATAGATAGATAGATGGATAGATGATGGATGGATGGATAGATAGATAGATAGATGGATGACAGACAGACAGACAGATAGATGATGGATGGGTAGGTAGATAGAGATAGATAGAAGATAGATAGAGATAGATAGATAGATGATAGACAGACAGACAGATAGATGATGGATGGGTAGGTAGATAGAGATAGATAGATTGAAGATAGATAGATAGATGGATAGATGATGGATGGATGGATGGATGGATGGATGGATGGATGGATGGATGGATAGATAGATAGATAGATAGATAGATAGATAGATAGATAGATGACAGACAGACAGATAGATGATGGATGGGTAGGTAGATAGAGATAGATTGAAGATAGATAGATGGATAGATGATGGATGGATGGATGGATGGATAGATAGATAGATAGATAGATAGATAGATAGATAGATAGATAGATAGATAGATGATAGATAGATAATACACAGACAGACAGACAGATAGATGATGGATGGGTAGGTAGATAGAGATAGATAGATTGAAGATAGATGGATGGATGGATGGATGGATGGATAGATAGATGACAGACAGACAGATAGATGATGGATGGGTAGGTAGATAGAGATAGATAGAAGATGGATGGGTAGGTAGGTGGATGGATAGATAGATGATAGATAGATAGATAGACAGACAGATAGATGATGGATGGGTAGGTAGATAGAGATAGATAAATGGATGGATGGATACATAGATAAGCGAATATAGATAATAAAGGTAGATGACAGATCAATAAGACAATATAGTTAACAAACATTCATGATTGATAATAGATCATTAAGAATCTAGATAATAATGGATGGCTGATATAAATCGATGAATGGATGGATGTAGATAGATGATAGAAGGATAGATGAAACAATATAGATAATTAAGATAGACGACAGGTCAATAAGGCAATAGAGTTAACAAAGATAGATGAGGGATAATAGATTAATAAGATGGATGGACGGACAAACAGACAGATGTAGACTTACACAACCATTGATTTAGCGACATTACATTTTGTGAACGCTGCATCCTCCTGGTCACGTGATCAAAATTTGGATGCTTGGCAACCAACACATATTTATGACAGTTGCAGTGTCACCTTTTGTGACCTTCTAACAAGCAAAGTCAGTGGGGGGGAAGCCAGGTTCACTTAACAACGGTGTTACTAACAACTGCAGTGATTCACTTAACAACTGTGTAAAGTGGGGGGTTGTTTTTGGAGAATAATCTGTCCAAACTTTGGAGTTCTGGAAGGTGGAGTTGTTCTTCCACTGGACAACTCAGCTTCTCATTGATGGCTGGTGTCTCCCA